ATCACACATATGTATATATACATATATATATACATATATATACATATATATACATATATGTACATATATATATATATATATATATCAAACACATGTATATGCCACATGCATAATACATATATATATTTTATGTGTAGCATATGTATACTGAGTGCATTAATTACGTCCTACAGAATTGGTGGGAAAGGGTTCATGATTTCTTCTCCTCATCCTCAGCTGTAGGAACACATCGAGATATCTAGATTATTTCGAGCATCATTTATCCATCCGAGACTCCTAGCAGCTCTTACCCTTCGGCTGCCGAGTTCTGCGTTGTAGATCGACCCAAACGAGACGCAAAATGCTAGGCTTTACTTTTTGCTTCATCTCATGCTCCTAAGGCCTGTCGTTTAACGTGCACTTTACATCCTGCAAATTTACTGTATTACCACCAACCGTTGGCATATATACAAGCGCATGCCAGCACGAACGTATACATGTATATGTGTATATATATATGTATATATATATATATATATATAACTGATAACACCGATGATAAAAATTTCAGAAAAAATCACCAAGGTTTTTAAAATGCAAAAAGTGAACCTTTTTCATCATATGGAAGGCCAAGAATAATTTCCGGTGCTCGATAATGCCTCGTAACCACATAAATTGACATACGTTCTGCTGTTTCTATTTTTCTTGCCAAACCAAAATCAAGGATTTTTAGAATGCACTCGCCATTGACCACTATATTACTCGGTTTCAAGTCCTGAAAATGATTCCGGGGTTAAGCTAGATCCATACTGAATACTTTCATGTTTTTTCTATAAGTATGGCATTATAGGATATGCCCGCTCATCTGCTTACTTGATAACATGCTCACAGTATTTGCGTGTTCAAGAGTCTGGTCAACTTGAGTTTAGCATTTTGCTTCTTAGATCTTAATTCTAGTCAACTTCTTCAGAGAAAAACAAAAAATTTGTAAGAACAAATTTAGAAAAGTGGAACTGAAATGTTCACAATCGCCTCAGACTGCTCCTCAGATAATTCGACCTTCGCATCAAGTACTTCCCCGGAGAGGAGGAAGCCAAGAAAGGAGAGGGCAAACGGTAAGTTTGTGCATGCTACTGTCTTTTAAGACAGTGTATAGTGTAAAGACGCCTCCTCCTCGTGTTTTTGAACAAATCTTCTTACAACTTATGAAATATTATTATTAACATAATAATAATTATTATATTGTTTTTATCATTACTGTTATTGTTACTGTATTATCATTACTATTACTATTATTGTCATTATTATAGCCATTATTATTTTCATTATGAATTTTGATTATCTGCTTCGAAAATGTGAAACTTCTTACGCACTCGATGAATTATTCCGCTACGATGCATGTATTTGATAGCGACAATCATCTGATATGTGAAATAAGACAGGTGTTTGTTATCCAATTTTAGTTGCCTAATTACTTGGTTCAGATTGTAGCTCATTAATTCCATGACCAAATAAATATCTTCAAAATCCGCCAGCGAGCTTTCTGGTGTAAAGGCACTTTTCAACGCTATTATCTGCAACTGCAGTACTATAATATTGAAGCAGGAACTAAAACGCAGTGCCTGTTATCAGATCCTACCTGTTGTACAAATTGGATTATTGGATGTGTTTTCACACAGCGATGAATTGTTCTCCTGCTCTTCTAGGCTGACGTAATATAAATCAGGTATAACAAAGAACTGGCCAGATTTCCAAAAAAGAAACACACACCAAGGCAAGTGCCCCATCCAGAATCGTGCGCCTTTATTTTCCCGCCGTTTGTTTCACTATTGTTTTATCACCAGAATTTTATATTTCCGTAGCGTGCTCTTTGCATTTCTGTGTCTTCATCAAGCTTTCTATCGTCCTCTGGCTGAATTATGCACTTCTTGGCTCCATTTTTGGCATTCTCTTACTCACGCTAAACGGCTGGGTGTTTTTTGAAAGAAAGAACTGCTTCTTCCTTCACTGGTTACGTCGTGTTTAAAATGACCAAATAAAATTTCTACACGAAAACTGATAAGAAAAAGGCAAACATTAGGATGGCGCATTGTTGTGAGTAGCACAAATTCGCGGTACGTCCTTTTGGCAGTCATGGTGGTCAAAAACGGGTGCACAATCTTTTTGATCGCCACCGGTGTATTTGTTACTGTGTCATCCGCTTTCCTTAAAAAATGCTTAGAATCTTCATTGGAGTAAGTACAGGTTTTTGCAGGAATTGTTCACGCGAGGAGTGATCATTGAAATACAACAAATGTTGCAACAGCGAGCCTGTGTCCATTTTAATCATTAGAAAAGAACTGTGCTAATCAGTTGACTGCCCAATGGTTCTTCAACAACGCCCTGGGCGCACTTCAGACCAGCACATTAACTATGATAACTGAAAATTTTCCCGTTCAAAATGCTAGGGGAAATGAACTTGGAAAAACTTACACAACAATGCCTTGAGCACCAGCGCTAAGAAATGAAAGATTTGAATATCTTCTTGGAACAGTAAACACAGCGCTTATCGGTCCCCTTTCCACTGTCACCTGGTGAAATAAATTCTGGTCAAAACTCATCCTGAAAATTAGCTCAGTTTATTCAAGCGCTCCAGTGATTGGATCGAAATCTAAATTGTTAGCGAATTCGTAAAGACACTGTCGGAAAAAATCTCAATATCCAGTAAAAACGAAAGCCTGTCTGCTATCTGCTATCAGTTGTAGTACAGATATACAGAAAAATCAGCTGCACATTTTCTCAAAGACAGTAGAATTTTGTAAAGGGGTGCAAAACAGGTGAAGGTCATAACTTCTGTAAAAAATTTCACACAACAACTGCAAGACAACTAAATTGCTGCTCTAATTCGTTACTTGAGTCGGCAACCTTCTCCTACAAAACAAAACGTGTTTAATTTGGTTGATTCACCCACAACACTCTCAGGATATTCACAAAACGGGCCGGTGTAGACTTATATGAGGTGCAGTGCTGAATATATGCAAAAACAACCGCAATTTTTGATCATTCTTAACAGTTTTTAATAAGCTTAAAAATAAACAGAGGCTTGCTCATATGAAGTAAACTTTTCAGTGATTAGCTTGTAACTCAATGAGCTCTAGAGAGACGGCACAATAACCTTCAGTTAAGTACATCTCTAGTGAAGTTTTTTGTTGTCGATTTAATGACGTACGTTGTGAAAAATAAGACTGATCCATGTAACGAAGACGAAAGATAAATGTGGCCGAAAATGACTCATGACTGACACCTGGTCAACGGAAAAGGGACATTAATGAGACAGCAAATAAAGACTAAAATCATGTTTGTTTTTAGTAAAGATTAGAATAATTTTTTTTAACCGCTGTTGAGATAAGCGCAGAACCGAGGGGAATGCTCGTCGTATAGATCGACAGTGTAAAGGAGTGAAGCAGTGGAATATTAAAGCAAATATGCTGGGTTATTCAAAAGATTGGCTGGGTGCACAACTTCCAACATGTATAAACTGCCTCAAAGTTCACACAGTATGTTAAGGCAATTTCTTGTAAATGCTAATCGATGGAGCAAACGGGGCTCAATTAATCAATACCAGAATAATGAAACGAATGAAATTTTGGGCTCGCAAACTTCAAGACCGGATAGGCACCATACGTTCTGTTGCGATTTAGAAATTTGTTGATTCAGGCGGAATATTAAACTGTTATAGCCGGTTCTATGTTATAGTCATCTTCACAAACGCATTCTCCTCAAATATGATAATGAACAAGGTTCTTCTGAAAAATCGTACGGAGTAAGAAAAAACCTAGTGTTCTTCAGAACGCATGAGCTGGTTGCTGCCAAGTCACTGCTTCTAAGCAGGTCTGATTAATAAAATTAAGACTGCTGCTCTAACTACTCGTTTTTGGATAGAGGTCACAGGCCAAAACACAGCGGAATTGAAGCTGGTTTCGAGTCAGTTGTTCTGCCTTACATAGGAAAATAAAAGACCACAAATATCGTTTATTTAATTTGCTCGGTCTTGAGCGTGCAAACTTTATGCAGCTTGACATAGTCAGAGATAGGGATGCAGTGGATTTTAGAACCTAATTACATGCTATTCGCCTGAAATTCCATTTGTAGCTTTTTTCGTACTCCACTTGTAAAACCCAGGCGGCGATGCGTCAGATTTGCTGCTGCGATCATGCGCTTTGCGCTAAACTTAAAGCAGCCAGTTCATTGAAAGCTTTGACGGTTCCTGCGTTACAGTTTAACAAGTGGATCCATGTTGGGCATGTTTTGGTCTCTTCACGCAGGGAGAGAAGAGCGCTCAGATGGGATGGTAGTGTTGCATCATGGCTCGTGTGAGGTCTAAAATTCGGCATGCACTATTATTGTAAATTCGCTTATCGGAAAATGAAAATTTGGCAATGAAAAGAATGTTGGGAGAAAATGATGATGAAATTCGCCAAATGCGTTCGCTTTTTAGGTTACAATAAAACTGAGTGTTTGTCATGTCCGTATGAAGGAATTTAGCATTCAAGCTGAATTTAGATCACACTCGAATATAGAATATCCTTGTAAAGTTTCAAATTGGCAGCTTGTCCGGTAAACGAGACCTCCACTTCGTTACAGATATCTTTCACCTGTCTTAAAGAACGGCGCAAGTGCAGATCGAAACTCGATTTAAGCATACGATTTTCCAGACAAACGATAGATATTCCGACAGAATAACAGCCACTGTTTTCCGCTAATCTTCTAACTAGCACAGTGTTAACGCGCGAACTTCATTGGGACCATACGCGTGATGCAAGCGTGCGCGATTTCTGAATTTGAAATCTTCAGCTCATACATGGACACAGATTATGTCTTCAAGATCTAGCTTTCTACCTTTATCGGTTCCCAAAACTGGTTTCCTGACAAAAAATTTACATATTCTTTCGAGGGTTCATACATGAAAATTAGGCGCATACGAACGCTGATTTTAAGACGGACTGGCGGTATATGGGATGAGAAGATGCTCATAAAAATTTCATCCTCCCAGCTCTCCCAGTTGTTGAATTGAAAGTGGGTGACAAAGTTTACTCTTTTTTCCGAACACACACAAACACAGACAAACTTTCGACAATACGCATTCTTGCATTTGCATAAGACGTAAAAACGTATAACTACTCCTAATTATGAGAAGGGTGACCGACTGCCACTAACGGTTACAGCGAAGAGCTAGTGTGATCATGCACAACACCAATCACAATCCCTGGTTCTAGACTGTCTCTGGCAGTGTCATCTCCTTAGCAAAACTGAAATTCAGCTCCGCTCACACTGCTTCTCGGAACTGGGAACTGATAGTCCTTTTTTGACAGTGGCTAACAGTGGTGGGTTATAGACAAGCACTTCTGTCCCAATCAATGTAATGTACAACTAGAATAAGTTTAACCAAATGGCAACACTGCACACGGGTTGCTCGACACAAGCGATGAAGATGA